CACCACCGCACACCACCGCACACCACCACCACCACTGCCACCAACGCAATGCCTCTGCCGGTTTTTTGTACCACTGTCAAGGCAACTATGCGAGAAATGGCCAGGGAAGTCCCTTGAGCTTTGGTTCTTAAGCTTCAGGGTGTTGACCTGCAGGGTTCAGAGCTAGGGGTGGGGATTTCTGTAGTAACTGTGAATGCATCTGCAAGGCTTCTGTAAGGGACCGTTGAGGGCGCAGAATCCAGACGTTGTTGATTCAGCAATACTTGGTGGGCATTCTCTGAGGCAGACCCATTTTTGAAATGCCATTCACTTTGCTTTATGAGCGGTCATTCCTAGCCGGTGGCGGGGCGAAGTTTTCCTACACATCCCCAAGCCCCAACTCCTGGTCCTCACCCAATCCCAATCTCTCAGCCCCGGCATCCCACTCAACTTAGTGGTGACTACTCGGGAATGGAGGAATGCATCCCTATAGTCGTCCCAGTTCCTATTCCTGCATTCCCTACTCACCACTAAGAAACTCCTCACTCCCTTAAACCCTCAACCCAAAGCTGTCGTGTCTTCAGGTGGAACTTCCTGGATGGTATCATTGTTGTGGCTTCCTGGTGGGAGGCCAGACTTCAACTTGAAAAGCTCTGACATGTGATGAGTCCACGGGCCCAAGACACCAGTTGTATGTCAGAACGTCCCACAGTTTTTATGTGATGCGGAGTTTTCTTTTTCGATTTAACTGGCTTGTCTAGGCCTGCGGCTGCGTTATTCGCGAAAAATGCTTAAGTGGCAGGTAATCCATCCCGCGGGGCTGAGGGTTTACTTTCTGCAGCTGCTACAGTCTTACAAGCCGCACCACTGCTGAACAGCCTACATGTCGCCTATATCTACATCCTTAAAAGCAGCAAATTATGGATGAACTTCGTTTGGGGTTCTTCAGGCAGCTGAAATTGAAAGCGGATCAGCTAGGTAGCTATGATCATCATGTCAAGCGTGTTCTGCCAGAGCACGTGGCTGGAGGTGGTTGGTGAGATTCAGACTTTGCTGGCTTCATCGAACCCTGAGGAGAGCACCTTGGTTGAGGCAATGGCTCGCCTTTGGCGTTAGCTGGGAGTGAAGGAGTGGCAAAGAAAACGGAAACAACAGGGACTATATAGGGTTTAGGGTAGGAATGTTAAAAGAACATGGAAACTACTATGATGGGTTTTATAGGGACTACCATAAGGATCCATTCCTTCATTCCTAACCAAAAG